TGATATCCAAGAGGCACTTGCCAACCCGAACTACACCGTAGAGGTGAACCCTGAAGGCAAAGAGAGATGGGTGGCGCAAGAAGCGCAAAAACCATCTTCTGTAACCTTCCGACGAAGAAGACCATGGGGCGGGAGGGTAGGGAAAGAAGAACAAAACTATCTCTAAGAGATCGGCCTTGAAAGGAAACATAGAGGAATGGAAACATGTGAGCACGATGTCCTTCGAAAAGTTTTGTAACAACACACAGCCTGTGTTGGCAACAAAACTTGTTCGTCTGGCACGGCTTCACATGGATGCCCAGAACTGCCATAAGCTGATTTGAACCACATCTGAGATCCAATGCGACACAAGATCTGTCTGCACCTAATGTTATGCTGTGCACGTTCAGGTCAGGCAGTGCCTCCATCAAGCACAACCGCAGGTGGAAGCACTCCACCGGTTTTCTGATATCCAAGAGGCACTTGCCAACCAAAGCCAGAAAGGAACAGCAAGTGCACAGTGCAGACAGCAAGACAGACAGACAACCACCAAAGACTGGACGGGAACTTGTGGAAGACGAGACAAAGAGGGAGACAAAGAGAGAGAGAGAGAGAGAAACAGGGAGTGAAAACCCCAAAAAAAAACTGCTCGATTGTAGATCGCATTTGCGGTTGTTTTGCAGCCGCGTGTTCAAGTGTCCCTGTCCGAATCCGAATCATTTAATGTAAACTCAACGGCTTCACGTCTGTCTACAGACGAACGTGAAAGGTATGCAAGAAAGGCCCCTGATCGCCAACCGCCTGCTCGCAAGATGTGAGACAATGCACATCCTTTGTCCAACATGTCTGATGCCATGCCCCTTCCAAAGGCGTGCCATCCCGGCCACGACATGCCAATCGCATCACAACAAGCTCTGAACCTTCGCTGAGCTTCCGCTTCGGTGAATGGCCAAATACTACATGACACATCTGTGCTTTGCTCCCTGGCGCGCTTTACTTGCGTGGCAAGTGAACATGCACAGCACATCAGCTCAAGCTTCCGGTCACAACAACATCTCCTCACTAGAACTGCGCCCTCTGGCGCGTTTTTGCGAGTGCGCAATGTGACTGAAACTTCTCGGCCTTTCACGTTGACGAAGGAGTGCCATGATGTATGACCCCTTCCTGCGATGTGTGTTTTGCCTGAATAGGGATCAGTTCATTGGCAACCCGGAACAGGAATCCGCGTGCAACCACGAAGAGGCGCGCGAGGTCATCCCAGCCCTTTTCCAAAGCCACTTGAACGAGTGTTACCACTTGTTTGTGCCTGAGTCTGGGAAGGTCTGAGCGGCGCTTGTCTTTTCGAGCTCCCCGAAGCAACTGTTGCCACGTGCTGGATGGGATGCAAGGCTCACGATGCAAGATCCGAAGAAACAGCCGCAAGTGACCTACATACTCCCTAAAGGTGTCAGCATTTCGAAACTGTTGGCTATACGCTGCAAGCATCTCCACTGTGACATCAAACGGGTCGGAGAATTTGAACAAGCCTTCAGTCAACAGTGCCCAGGCCCAAATGCCGGACCTGACACTCTTCCATGACCCTCTAATGGACGTCAACATTGTACGAACAGCTGCCTCGAGCGACAGCGCTCCGGGAAATCGCCATGTCTCAACATCTATGGGCTCAAGGCGGACATGTGACCCAGGAAAGCCAGCCATGCATTGTGCAGAGCGCAATCGCTTGGAAGGCGCTTCATCCCAGGCCGGACGGCTACCCTCAGTACCCATTGGGCCCAAACGAGGAATCAAATATCCGCAATCCGACGCGACGCATCGCTGCTCGAATGAAAAAATTCCCATGGCGTGTGAAGATACAGCCTGGATCAGTCGATCTTCCTGGAAGAAGGCTTCCAATGCTATGCCAGCACCAGCCGCAGAAATCGGACCTCGCAAAGACAAGACCTCTAGCCAGGATCCTTTGCGACCGAGCGCCGCAAATTGAGACCAAGGCAGGGGGTGTCCATGCGCCAACTCATTGACGGAATTGGGGAGATAACGGTGAGGGGAGTCTGAGGTCCCATGTTGTATCCGAGCTTCCACTCTGCATTGAAGCAGCGTCTCTCGAACCTGGAAACTCGAAATCCAACCTGGAGATGGCACGGTCTGGTAACTCAGTTAAGAGAACCGCCCGGCCAAGTATCAAGGTTTCGACCTTCTCCCGACATCCAGGTCCGACCCCCTGAACACCAAGAAGGGCGCTAGTGATCTCAGAAGATGGGGCCCAATCATGCCGAAATCGATGCATGCCAGACTCCAGCCGACTCCATGGACGATGAGAAGCAGAAAGACTGATGATTGGATGTATTCAAGATCCTGTATGGGCTTTTGAACAGAACGGCTACCGCTACGATCGGACTCGTTCGGTCGGCCAACAAGGTATGCTTGACTGATCAGCATGCCATGCAAAGACAGAAAAGATCAAAGGCAAGTAGCTGGCAGTGAAGCTTGTTTCTTCACGATTCCGGCTGACGTGACATGGCCAAGTCTAATGCTTTGAAAATAGTTTCGAAGCGCACTCGCCAAGGAACTTGATCTCCAAGCGATGCTGCTCGATGACGTGAAGGCAAGTCAGCTGGATTGAGTTTTGAAGGTACGTATTTAAACACTGGAATGAAGCCATGTTTGACCGCATGCTCCCAGAATAGCTCCACCAAAACGTGCATGTCCCAAGAAGAACTGCTTCCTCGCCGTAAGGCCCCCAGTGCCGACATGTTGTCCACAAAGAAGACGATACGCCGATTACACAGCTGCCGAACGAAAATGCGAGAGGCACAAATGACCATCAATGTTTCGTAAATGCAGATCTGGGTCCTACGCCTTTTCAGTTTCCTCACTATGCTGGAAGGGGCTTGGCCAGATACCCAACTAGCTGACGACGACACAACACATACTGCTCCGAGGCCACCACGCCCAGACGCGTCAGTGTAGATCAGAACGGGCTCCAGATGTAAACAATCCAAGGGGACGACTCGGACTGACAGTGTGTGGATGTAACCAGACCACCATTTCAAATCCATGACGGCTCGAGGCAGAAGAAGACTAGACCATTCCCTAACTTGTTGATGCACGCCTGATAGGTGACATCTCGCGACCTGGCCCCAAATGGCCCAAGAGGCGAAACTGAGACGTCCGGCAAGTTTGCGAAACCCAATGAGGTC